ATGAAACCTTGCAATTTCTAAGAAAACATGCACATTGAAGCTGGAAAACCATCAATGAGTCGATGCAATCAGCTGGTTTTCCTTAGATAGAAAACTTTGAATCAATCTGACTGGATGATCTGGTTGAACTGGAAAGTGACCTGAGATGACATGATGTGAATTGGAGCTATAGAAATAAACTGAATTGTTATTTTCATTTTAATTTTAGGTCTGAAATCCCTCCTAAGTGGTACTGGTGGTTCTTTCAGACAGTTCCAGGTAAAACTTTATTCTGATTGTTTGGTTTAATCTCAATTATTTAATCTTGTTTTGTCATTTTAATCTTTTTTTCTGCCCTGTAGGAATCACTGGTGTCCTGCTTCTCTTTGCTTTTGCGTTTATGTATGTTTTTGCTTCTCACTACTTCCGTCGCATCAGTTTTCGTGGATTTTGGATGACCCATTACCTCTATGTCGTTGTCTACATTCTGGTAAGCGCTGTTTTATCTCAGAGCCCTGATAGTATGGTATGATGGTGTGATGTCAGTGCTGTTTCTGTCTCAGACCGTCATACACGGCAGCTACGCTCTGCTCCAGGAGCCGCGTTTCCACATCTACCTTATCCCTCCCAGCCTGCTCTTCCTACTGGATAAACTGATCAGCCTGAGCAGGAAAAAGGTGGAGATCCCTGTTGTCAGAGCAGAGCTGCTGCTTTCAGGTGATATTGTTGGATGATTTCAAAGGTTTTTTTTATGTATCGTCCTTGATTAAATAAATAATAATTCCCTCTAATTTCCATTCCTGAAGGTGTGACACATCTGGAGTTCAAGCGGCCAAAGGGCTTTGTGTACCGTTCAGGCCAGTGGGTTCGGATCGCATGCTTGATGCTGGACACAGATGAGTACCACCCATTCACTCTAACATCTGCCCCTCATGAAGAGACCCTGAGTCTGCACATCAGAGCTGTGGGGCCATGGACCAGTCGGCTCAGAGAGCTCTACACAGAGGAGAGCCTCCTGGAGCTTGGTGGCTATCCGAAGGTGCGCCCGTTAACCGTTTCCGCCGCAATCGATTTCTTCCCTCTGGAGGAAACTAATGTTGTGACTTTCTTTAATCTGAAGCTGTACTTGGACGGACCGTTCGGCGAGGGCCATCAGGAGTGGAACGACTTTGAGGTGTCTGTCTTGGTGGGGGGAGGAATAGGCGTCACACCGTTCACCTCGATCCTCAAGGACCTGGTGTTCAAGTCCTCCATCAAGTCTAAGATCCTGTGTAAAAAAGTAAGCTAACCATCAACCTCCTTGTTGGTTGGTACATCTAGAAGGGATGTTTTAAAGATGATTACATCATGATCTCACAATGATCGTTAAAGTAAAAGTTTGGTCAGCAAGGA